TCAGCTACTCTCATCTTATCCTGGCTAGACAACAAATGATATGTAGAGAATAAGGAGGACATATGTGTCATATGGTCAGTGGCTCCGGAATCAATCACTCAAGAGGTAGAATTAATGGAACTAGWTGCACTAAATGCAGAGGCTGTACCTGATTTGGCAAGGGAGGTGGAAGCTAAAGAATTCTTCTTTAGATGGGCTAATGCCCGGCTGAGAACCTCTACCTCACTAGCTGTGAAGCCCGAAGTACTTGGTTCAGAGGAGTCGGCAGCCTGCCTTGCGGTGGAAGAGGACACTGTGAGTTGTCACTACTGTTGTTGGTGGCAAGATTCCCACTTGCTGTGTGGCCCTATGTTGCCTTTTGTCCTTTCTTAGAGCAGCTGGCTTCAGATGAGGGTACAAGACCCAACATTTCTCCTTTGTGTGTTTCTCACCACCACAATGGGTATATTTGAGGGACTTCTTGTCTGAAAATCTATTCCCCTTAGTGGAGACCAAGGCTGAATGTTCTCCAGGTAGTTTTGTTGATTGTGTCTGGGAGTCAACTTGCATCTCCTTTCTCCTAACTTCTTCATTCCTCACCAAGTAGTAGACATGGTGAAGCTCAGGTAATTCATCTCTCCCTAGAATCTGTGACCTTATACCTTCATATACAGGKTCAAGACCCGCCAGAAACTTGAAGGCTCTGCCCTCCTCAATCTGCTTGTCATGCTTCCCCTTATCATTGGCATTTTCCCAATCCAAAATCAAGTGGTGGTCAAGCTCTTCCCAGAGGCCTTTTAGTGTTGCAAAGTAGGTTGCCACRGACATGTCTCCTTGCCTTAGGGCTGCAATGTCTTGGTTCAGCCTGTAGATTATAGCATTGTTCTTTTTTTGGCCATATGTCTTAGATACTTTCTCCCAAATTTTAGCAGCTGTAGGGAAGTGATGAACAGTTCTGGCCACCCTAGGAGTCATAGAGGCCARCAACCAAGACATGACTGTGGCATTTTCCTTGTGCCACACGGTGTATTCAGGACTGCCAATTTCTGGTTGTTTCTTGTCTCCATCCAAATAGCCAGTGAGTTCACGAGAGGTAATGAACAGCATTGCAGAGACGGACCACTCTCTGAAGTTATACTCATCCAGTAGCACACTTGTAATCTGCAAGCTGTGCAGATTAGGGTTTTCCAGGTTTGAGGACCTTGTGACAAGTTTGTTATCTCTAGAGGAAACTTCACCGGATAGTGAGGACATTCTGACTTCAATCCAAGAGTTGTTCACAGTACTATAGGTGGTTCTGTTAAGGACTGGCCAAAGTGGTCACTGTGTTCACAGTACTGATAGAAGTGTTCACAGTATAAGTAGAGGTCTGTAACTGAACCAGTTCACAGTGCTGGTAAAAATTTAAGGCTGCAACTGTGTGGTGCAAAAGTTGCCGCAGTTCTGGTAAAAAGTAAAGGTCTGTAACTGAACCAGTTCAGTCCAAGAGTAGGGCTGATAACCGACCTGAAGAAAATCTGTAACTGAAGTTGC